TAGTTGTACAGCACATGCTTCTTTCAAGAGTCGGCTGTAATATTGATATTCGTTACTATTTTTCGACATGAGATCAACGTTCAAGTCCCCTAAACAAATGACATTGTTCACTTCGACTGCAAGATCCACAAACAAAGAGTGAAACAAGGAAGCAAGGCAAGACTGCCTCACATTGGGTGGTCGATAGGCCACACATAGCCCGAGTCTCTCACCACTCATTTTCAAAATGATACAAAGTGCCTCTATGCCAGGACTCAAACTATCTTCAAAGCTGTGACTTTCAAAGTGTATACCATCTTTGATATAGATGGCAACACCCCCACCTCCTTGATCTTCTTCACATTCTACATTTGTGTTACGATCAGCTCGCAACAACTGATACCCAGGCATAGAGAAGTCTTCTGATGGTGTTCCAGGGCACAGCCACGTCTCTGACACTCCAAAAACATCGAAGTCAAAGTCACGCACCAGTGAGCACATCTCTGAAAACCCCGTATTCAGAGAGCGCATGTTTAAATGAGCGACTTTGAGTTCTCTGGTGCCCCCCCTCCTAGCAAGTTTCCCGAAAGCCTCGGCGAGGGCGGGTCTCCATGTTGGCTGGAACCACCATGATGACCGCCAACAGCCTCGACCCCAGTCACCTCACCAGGAGCAGGAGCAGGAGCAACAGACGCGACTCTACCATGGTCATGCGAGAGAGACTGCGGAGCTGGCTGATCCAGATACCGCGAAGCCACTTCTAAAATCAGTGATCCGAGTCGTGAGGTGCCTCTACGGTTCAAATGAGTACCGTCTCGGGCGAGGTCTCTCCTGCCAACACAAGTATTAACTTCCACGAATTCAACGTCAAAGTTATTGCACATTAGCTCCAACTGATAGTTGAAGTCGTGGAGAGCTCTATAGCCAATGTCTTGCCTAATTAGGACGCTGTTCAAAACAATTTTAGAATTTTGAAAATTTGTCTTGGCAGTATACAACAGATCCGCCATGCTGTGAAGGACTTCTCGCTTTCCGTGCCCTCCATTGTACCCTGGACCTCCCCTGTAGCCTCTCCTAAGGTTGTTACATCCTACATGAATATAAACTACGCTTAAGTCTAAGTTTACAAAGGTCAACAATTTTTCCTTGATGTGTCCAATTTTTGCACCAGGCCAACACTCTAAGATTGCACCTCGGTCAACACATTTCTTACTGGCATGACGAAGATGTGAGTCGCCTATAAGCAGTACCCTCTTGAGCTTCTTGTTACTGTCATTCGAACACTGAGGCCTCGTGGGGGTGGATGAAGGTATTACTGTAGGAGGGTCAATAGTAGAGGTAGTTTTTGGATGTGACTCGACAGTGTCTATGGCAGCTAGGGACAGTTCGGTATAGAGATCGGCGGCAGCTTGGCTCTCCTTCTCTCGCGCCGACATCGTCCTCACCTCAGACCGCAGAGCCTGCAAGTCAGCCTCCAGCACCTCGATGGTCGTCAGCAGACATCTACGCTCAGCATACAGCGCTTCCACCTTCTCCTCGTGCTCTAGTTTAAGCCTCTCGACATCAATCTCTTCTAATTGGTTGCGACTCGCCTTGATTTGTCGGTTTTCCTCCTTTACTTTCTTTAACTGTTCTGTCAAACGTGAAATTTTCTCGCTACAGTCATCTTCAAGCTCATTGTACTCTTGTGCTTTTTCTTTGATACTATTATTTAGTCCAGAAAACTTATTTTCGATAGTAGACACTTCTTCACGAAGAATATTTAGGTCTTGGACAAGTTCTTTGTTTTCCTTACTAATGTCATTAAGTTTTGATAAAAGTTTGGACACATGCGGGACAAGTTTTTCAATCGAATCCACACCAAATGTGGCCGAGGTGCAACGTAACTCACTGTAAAACTTAGATACAAGTTCAATTACATCATCTTCAATATAAAAAAGACCGTCAATAATATCCAGAAGTTCTGAAGATCTAGTTACAGGCATTTTAGTCAAAAATTAAAAACTAGTATAGTTTTTACTATAGTATAGTTTTTACTCATCCATTAGTTAGGCCTACTAAGACCTATCTTTTACAACAGATGTCAAAGAAAATAATTGTTTCCCAAGCTCAAATTTAGAGCAAAGAAAAAATGTTCAGCTGATTTTAACTTGCCTCAATTAATTCTTAATTATTTGCCGACAAAATTGTATTAGCGTTTCTTTACCTTTCATTTTTATACCTAATTTAAATCAGTTAAGTTTCAACTATTAACAATCTAAATGTAAACAGATAGGCATTGTTATAAGCTAGATTTGCTGTGTTTTATCGAATTTCCCATTAAGGGAATAAGGTATTACCGTAGTACTCATGGTAAGACCTGGACCCGGGACCGATTTACTTTTTCATTCTAAGTCCCTAGAGGTCAAAAACACCATCCGTTCAAATTCATAATTATATAATATATATGTCCGTTAGCACGATAACAGAAGCAAAAATGATCTGATTTTGATGAAATTTGGTACAAACGTGTACACCTACATTTATTCAAACGAGTTTGCAAACCAGCATGATCGGACTATGGAAACGGGGGTTTATGGGGTAAGAATTGTGGATATTTATAGGGATGCACTGTGCTCCCTGGTGTGGATTAACGTCCGCATTAGTGAGTACTACGACTATCCGCAGTACTATCCTGATAATTAGACCAATTCATTAATACCAAGGCAAAAAGGTGGTTCGGACTCCACTATAAACTGTAGGTCCCTTAGTTGCCATTAGCTGTATGGGCTATTAATTAACAGCTGTGTCTAAGGAACATGTCGGCCTTAGTCACTAACAAGACTACAAGATCGCGCCACTCATCCTACACTCATCCTTCACTCATATTTGGGTTAAAATACGCACATAGTGGCGTCCCCATCTTAAATAATTGATATTGATATTGATATATTGAATTGGTTTTATTCCATTTTGACCCTGAAAACATAGAATTTTGCAATTTATTTCCAAACCGTTTTTCATTGCTTTGCTTTGCTTTGCACACACTCACAACAATCTTGGAGTACCGAAGATGAGTTCACGTTTGAGCTCCGATAGGTAACCATATTCCGCAAGACTGACATCACAGTGCTGTAAAATTAGGTAGGTCTACTCTTTGAAACCAAAAAAGTCCCCCAGACTGATAATAACCGTTCTCTGACTCTAACTAAGTTAATTATTTAAGTTAAGTTTTTTTTTTAGTTAATGACCATACAAAAATCCGACAGTAAACGGAAGTCTGTACGTACTGTAAATATTAGTTTTATTTTTTATTGTAAATATTCATGACGCAGCCTATCCAGCTTTGCTGGTATCAGGCCAAGGAGGAGGTAATAAGGTTATCTGGCAGATGAACAAAGAACTAGCGTCTAGGAGCGTTTCTCTGAGAAACAAATATAAATTCCAAAATATAGGCCTACCTATGTTTTAAGTTTATCTAGATTTTAGAATGAGAAATCATGACACTTACCATTAAACATTCACGGATCTGGTGGAAACCTAATACCAATAAAAAATGAGCTATGAATTTTAAGTATATAATGTTTTCTGGAATATTATCTTGGAATATTATTTTATCACCACAAAGCAGATGAAAGTCCTAACCAAAAAATAGTTCACCAACATTTCATTACTGAAGTAACTAGATACTAACCTATCAACACTCAAAACAACTAAAGACAATTTTATTGTAGAACATCAACACATGGTAGCAACAATGTTTAATTATTATTAAATCGTCATAACACATGACAAAACTATACAAACATGACAATACACGACATAAAAATACAAACATAAACAGTAAACAATAGCTGACGACGTGTTTCGTGGGTTTCGTGTTTGGCTTTTCTGCTTTGGTTTTTTTTCACTGCCCAGTACAGACAGTACTGAAGGAATGACTGCTTGATTTTACCCTAAGTATCTACATTATAGTAAGTATATCGGTTAAAAACACAAGCCCTTTCCTTAATACACCCTAATTAAAGCACCTAAATTTAATTTAATTTTGTCAAAGTTAAAACATAGTCCCTTGGTAGATTTCCCATCCTTATGGAACAACTGAAGCCAAATTTATTGTTAGTACTGTCCGGTTGTCTGTAGATGTCGTCATAAATAAAACATACTCCTCAAGATGTCGTGTTTTATTTACAATTTGTTTCTATTAGTTTATGGTTCGTTTCTCATTATTTGTGTCTCACTGTTGGTTATATAGCTAGTGGACGAGTTATTGTTTATGATTAGATACTTTTATTTGGTTAAACGAGGTTTTAAATTACTGAAATAACAAGAAACACATTGTAAACAAAACACGACATCTACAGAAACCCGGACGGAAGACGGAACTAACAATAAAATTGGCTTCAGTTGTTCTATAAGGATGGGAAATCTACCAAGGGATAATGTTTCATGGTTTTAACATAGACTAACCAACACGTTTTATCTATGGTTTTAAGTAGACTTCTCATCCCATTGTAAATTTTGAAGCACGTTTTTCGTGTCTAGTTCATGTACGTGACACATGGGTGCTAGTGTCGACGAAACTTTGTTTCTATTATTTTAGGGTTAATTTCTTGATTTGTGCTTTACTGTTTGGTTATATAACTAGGGGACAAGTTATTGTTTATGATTAGATCGTATTATTTGGTCAAACGAGGTTTTAAATGGCTGTAATAACGGGAAACAAATTGTAGACAAAACACGACCTCTACATAAACCGTACAGAACTAACAATAAAATTGTCTTCAGCTTTTCCATAAGGATGAGAAATCTACTGTTTTATCTATGATTACAGTAGCAGTTGCAGTAGTCTTACCATTATAATTAGTGATAAAAGAAGAAGTTTATTATAAACAACGTAATAGAATTTATTTTAAAACTTATTCATTCTTACATATAATTAATATACTTCCCCGATTTAGATATAGTGACGTCCCACAATACTCTGTATTTGAGATTAAAATGGCATTGGCATGCTCACTACACATACACTATGGCCGCCACAATGGTCTGTAGTAGGAGTGTCAGGCGCGAGTCGTTCTTGTTAATTTAATAACAATAGTTATTTTTGTTGGTTATTTCAGTTCTATTAATTAAGTTTACTTAGATATAATACGCCACATTCATGTATGTGGTTAGGTGTTGTAGAACTTATCGGTAGCAATGAACGGGTTAAGTTTAAGTGAATTATGCTGCTTGTTTTGTTGTCCTCCGTGTCCATCAAGAATCGCTGCAAAATTGGCTTTTCTTCCACCTGATCCCACCTATAGTTTTCAGTCAGATGAATCAGGATCTAAGTTTCAAATCAGTCTCTCGGATAGGGCAGAATGGCAATATTCCGAACGAGAAAAAGAAAACATAGAAGGATTCTACGCTCGTACCTCGAGAGGCAACAGGATTGCTTGTCTTTTTGTTAGATGCAGTGCCAATGCTCGATTCACAATATTATTTTCTCATGGAAATGCCGTTGATTTGGGACAGATGAGTAGTTTTTACCTTGGATTAGGAACAAGGATCAACTGCAATATATTTAGCTACGATTATTCTGGATATGGAGTTAGTACTGGCAAACCCTCTGAGAAAAACTTGTATGCTGACATTGATGCTGCCTGGCAGACTCTTAGAACAAGATATGGCATTAGCCCAGAAAACATTATTTTGTATGGACAGAGTATAGGGACTGTTCCTACAGTGGATTTGGCTTCAAGATATGAAGTTGGTGCAGTTGTTCTTCATTCACCCCTTATGTCGGGCATGAGAGTGGCCTTCCCGAACACTAAAAGAACCTGGTTCTTCGATGCCTTTCCTAGGTAATCATTAACCTATGCTATAGCTTTACATCGCTAGATCTTTTAGTCAAGATATTTAATAATTCGCTGAGGATAACTTACGCGTCTGGTAACCGAACGTGGATTAGGCGCCTGGCAGTGATGTCACCGGGTGGTGTGGGCCCGGAACACCATTACCACAACAGATATGATGTATAGCCATCGGTGTTCGTGGTGAAGTGGATTGAGGGCTTGGCTGATGTAACTTACTAGGGGTAGTAGCCTAGATCTAACATCACATCGGTGACACTAACTGTTTGTCAAAGATTTTGCTTAGAATGCCACTTCTTTTTAACTGTACATCTTTTGTTAGAATTTGAGGCATTTACAATTTTATTTTATGAACAGAATTTAACCGTCTTTCGATTTTTTCATTATCAGCAAGTTTGGTTAGGTTAGGTTATGACAATAACTGCCGGACGCCTAATCCACGCCTGGTTACCGGACGCGTATCCTCTGCCTTAATAATTAGGCCTAATCGTAGAAAGAGGGGTGCAGTATAAACTTAGACCTATAATAGGCCTATTTGACTATTGCTTCCATGGTAAACGAAGGAATAGCCTACAAAAGATGTTAACCTGCAACCCAAGTAAAATTAAAATTTGCCATAGCACACACACACCAATGCTCAATTTTTACCAACTGTCTATAATAAGATAAGTAAGTTAGTAAGATACAGAAGTGAACAGAAACTGGTACACACACCGACCACTAATCGCCAAACCAGGGACCCCACGCTTATAATGCACAAACTAATATAAGTGTTTCGTCCATGACTACAGCAAGTGAATTAAACCATGTTCTAATACACTACGCAGGCTGAGAAAACCCAACAGGAAGCTCTTCATCCGCTCCGTGTGGCCAGGAAACCGACGGCATGGCTTATCTTCGTGCTAAGATAAGCCACGCGGATGATCCGCCTCGTTGTGGCCCCGGCCTTATGATAGTTTGTGTTACAGTAGAGCCTAGAAGATCATTACAATTTTTATTATAGTACTGAGTACTGGGACTTCAAAGGCCTAAGCTTAATTAGTAAACATTTTATTAATTTTTAAATAGGCTACCAAGTTACCTTGTTGATAAAACAATTAGTTTTGATTAGACCTACAACTGGGAAAAATTGGGGGATATTTACACCTTATTTAAGGGTGTAAACTTGGGCCTACTTAATGTTCAAAAGTAGCCTACACATAAGTCTACAGTGTCACATTTGGTCTTACACATTAGCTGAAATATTTACCTCTGACATTGCTAACCCCTTTCCTCTTTAACAAAGCGTGTTTAATCGACTCCATTTTCAAATTACGGATTCAATTTTTGGCCTAAGTCTAGCTTTAATTCTAATGATAAACACTGCACCTTATAAACTACTGTAACACTGCTAATCTCTCCGTGTATGTTTTCAGTATTGATAAGGTCCCCAAGGTAACATCCCCGGTGCTGGTAATCCACGGAACAGAAGATGAGGTTATAGACTTCTCTCACGGCCTTGCCATCTATGAAAGGTGTCCCAGGGCCGTTGAACCACTCTGGGTAGAGGTAAGACACGTTTGAAATATTTTGTTCAGAAATTATTCCTTAAGAATTACAGGGTTACGACGGACCTGGAAAGTCATTGAAGGTCAGGGAAATGGGTAGGCCTACAGGGTCAGGGAAAGTTTTTAGAAAAGGCCGCAAATCAGGGAAAATTTTTAAAAACAATTTTAAGTCAAAGAAATTTACTAATTAAACTTTTATAGGTTGTGTTATTTTTTTTTATGATTAATGTATTAAGTTATGTTGAAATGAGATACTTAAGTAATATGTGGTGTATGTAATTTTTATTAAAACATTTTTTTGTTTTATTTTCAGCTGTAGGTCTAAGTATTAGAATTTGATTGCTTAGTATTGTATTTATAAATACCCCCGCCACAGCAAAAAGTACCTACTTAGGTTTACTACTACACAGTACATAATTAACCTTTCAGAGGGTGCAATGGTTTTCAAAGCGGGAGAGGGCGCACCCGGAGGTTACTTCCAGGGCAATAAAAACAATCATTTATGAAGTAAAATTTTTATTTTAGTGCACAAATTTTAAAGTTTTATCTTTAATTTTAAACATCAAAAATGTGTTTAGTAAACTCTTAATTATAAAATAACTTAATTTTTATTTTATAAATATAAAATTAAACTAATTATTCTATATCAATTGTTCTAACATAAAAGTATGAAGAAATCTTTTACAAGAATATATTCAAGAAGTTAATTTAAATTTCACTACAATTTCCTATAATGTGGTTTTAGATGATAACAATCTCAATACCAGATGTTTTAAGTAATTTAACATAATGGGTATCTTAATACTAAATGGCTCTGTACATACGTCGTTCGAGAATCTCCCTTTCAGCTCGGCTAAGAGTGTTGCAATTCGAAATTTAACTTCGTCACTCATCTTGTAACCGCCCCGCCAAGTCCCCCAGCGGTACACAGCTGCTGCAGTGTATATATACATGACGTGACAAAGTGGCTTTTTTACTCGTCTATAGCTCTGAAGAAACAAAAGCTATTAAAAAAATTATTCATCTACTGGATAGGGGCACTCATTCTCAACAAAATAAAAAAAAAGAATTTAAAAAACGGTTGTGTTTGAGTCAAGAAAAACTAGTTTGAAAATTCACAAATTTTCCGTGTTCTCCTTCTTCTCCTTGAATGTTGACGGACCTACAGCCCAAACCACTGGCTCAATTTTAATGTTTTTTATGTCGTTTGAAAGCCCTTAACGTGTAGATTTGCCTTTTGAGGGTCTCAAGTCGGTGCGTTGACCCATAAACCCTTGGCAAGCCCTGAAAGTACGATTTTGGCCCATTTAAATAACATGGAATTAAAATCAAAACAAAAGAAGGATCAGCTGCGATTAAATCTCAATTAATTTAAATGTTAGAGAAATTCATAGGAACAGCTGAAAAATTATTTTAAAACATTAATAAAGTATTTTTTCACAAGATGACCATTGATGAAATTTGAAACTGAGTTTAAGCCCAGGGGGTTTGTTAAATAGTAATTTTGGTACGTGTGTCAAAAAGTTTTTAATCGGTTTAAAGCAGATAAGACCAAAAATGTAGAATTTAGCTCTACACAAACAATATTATAGAAATTAAATGAGATGTAGTTGTGCCGTGGTCTATATATCAGGGAAAAGATGATTTTTATTTTAACTGTTGATTTTCTACAAAAATAAATAAAATCTAACAAAAAACCACTAAGTGGTAACACTTTCCCCGCCAAGTCAGCAATCCAAAAAAGATAATAAATCATTACTTTTTCCGCCAAGAAAAATAATGTAATGTATGTAAGTTTGGCAACTTGGCGGCAGACTTTTGCTTGATCACTTTAAAAATGCCATAAAACTAGTTTCATTGAGCAAGTATCTCTCCCATTAGTACATTGCTAGGTGAGACCTTATTTTACAAAATTTGACCTTATTTGTGCCACATTTCATAAAATCATAATAGTGATGGTTTATATTTACTGATTACCTCGAAATTATTATACTTAGTTGGACTAATTAATTAGAGAAGTTGATTTGTGAAATTATCCACGAACGTAACTTTAATGAAAAAAACCAAGCAAAAGTCTGCCGCCAAGTTGCCAAACTTACATACATTACATTATTTTTCTTGGCGGAAAAAGTAATGATTTATTATCTTTTTTGGATTGCTGACTTGGCGGGGAAAGTGTTACCACTTAGTGGTTTTTTGTTAGATATTTACTAAATAATGACATGATTCGTAAAAAAAAATATTTACAGTAATTGTTTACACGCAATAATCAATGCACACACTAAACTAGAGGTTGAATCACGGAAGTTGCCTCCAGGCTGTATAAGAATCGGCAGAGCGCACACGGAAGTTACTTCCAGTCTCTTACAAACCTGAACAAAACTAACAAATATAAAATAGTAGAGGTGAGTTTTGACCTTCACTCGATTCTAGGAATGAGGTGCATGAGGTACAGTGACACACTGCTGACACCACTCAAAATAATATAATCGCTGAAAATAAAACATCCCTGGAGGTTACTTCCGTGATGCGACCTCTGGAAGGTTTTTTTATTGAAATTGTGTTAGCTTACTGTTAAATAAACAAATTTGCTAAAACAAAAAAATTAAATCGGTTCCGGGTCTAGGTCTTACTATGGGACCTGCGTAATAGCTAGTTCCCTATATCGGAAATTCACTAAAAAAGGAGATGGAAGGGCGGCTATGGAGATGATGGAGGCCATATTAAATTGTAAAAGTTTTTTTTTAAGCTATATATACATAACTTATATCTAAATATTAAGAAAACTCTGTACATAAAGTATGGTGTGTTCATGGAAATTAACAGAAAACGGTCAGAGGAAGTCAGGGAATTCACTTGAGATATTTTTGTGTGTGAACCCTGAAGTAGTTTTTTTCTAAATAATATTTCAGCACCCTGAAAAACAGGTAAGCTCAATAAGCTGACTGATTGTTAACATTTTCTTTTTAAATAATATTCATATGTCAAATATATACAAATATTGAACTGAAAAACTGTTAAAACAACAATAATGATTTATGGTACAATTATCTACGGTGTAGGCTAACGCTCCTTTCACACTATACGTTTTCGCTTGTGCGGTTATTAGTCGTATTTGTTGTATCGCATTGGAGCTTATGGCCCCTTTCACATAATACGATTTCCAACCGTGTACGATTTTGACCCGCGTAGCGACCGTAGGTGCAGACGGTTGGTATCCGACTCCCGCACGAGTAATAGTCGTGTCTACTGCTAGTGGACCATGTGACCATATGGCCCTTTTCACACTACACGGTTGTTAGTCGTGCGGGAGCCCTCCCCGAGTGCAGTTCGCAGCGTTTTTGCTGTATAGTTTTTATTTCGTTTTTTAGTTTAATTGTTTGGTTATTGAGTTTAATTACCTGTGCGCACTGTATAGTATTATTCAGTTGTTGTAATTAGGTTCAGTTGTCTTAAAGTCACAGCCATCATTTCAACTGGTTGAATGTAGTTCCTGAACGTCATATTATTTCTTTGAAGATCACTTTTCAACTTATTGTGCAATTCATCGTTCCTCAAATCTTCGAATAATGTATTAAACACACCCACTTCCTCACGTCTTACATTTATGGGATGTACCCCTTGCAGACGGCCGCGTTTATTTCTTTTCCTGTGTCTGTAAATAATTAGCGCAGCAATAATTTACTCCCGATCCATACTCCACAAAACTTTCCACTGAAGTATCAATGAACTCTGTACTGGTGGAGTGGGGGGTTTCAATACTCGTACGATTACAAATCGTATAGTGTGAAAGCAACAGACCCACGACCGTCTGCCCGCACGATTAACACTCGTACGAGCGAAAACGTATAGTGTGAAAGGAGCGTAACACTTTATCTATGTACATTGCACAATTATTGCTTGTCAATGTAGGTTTCTTTATGTCAGTTGCAAAAACTGGAAAATAGTTGGGCCTTCAAACAACCAACTATTGTGGTCCCGTTGCAACCACCGTCTATAACGTATTTGCCAGGTGTAAGTCTAGGTTTACTGTCTTTTCACTAATTTTTAGAGCAATGATTAATAGAAGTGATAGTATCTAAATTATTATCCTAAAACTTAAAAAGATATTTGCATGTATTTTGGATTTGTACTACTAATCCCATTGCCAATTAATTTCAAGCAGAATTAAGGTTCACAATATCTCTGTTTGTGTAATGAGATAAAAATGCAGGCGTTTTCTCTTAACAATCTAAGCTACTGGGTGTAATAGGATTAACCGAGTCATTTCCGTTATTACAATCTGTTTAGACGGAAACATGATTAATAATGTGGCTTAATTGTGATAAGCTGAATGACTGTACTTTTATGACATCTTATCTTCAGAAACATTTACTTTGACATTGTGACTAAGGAAATATTTACAAGTCTTTATCAAATAGATTGCAATCGATCTTGGATAGCACAATTGAAACCTCAGATGATAAAACACTTTTATCATCTGTACAAGAATTTTATGTGCAAAAATATGCTAGGCCTACTTTTAATTCCAAAGTTTTATAGAAATATTTATTTTTTAAAAAAATTAGGCGTGTTGTGTGTTTATTTGATCAATGTATAATTAGGGCCTACTTTTTGTGGTTAAATAATCAATTAATATAAGCTGCATGACTTTAGGAAATACAGATAAAGTGAAAACTTTATTTTTAAGTATTTAAGGTTTTAAAAAAGACCTGTAAATAATAGGTATCATTGAATAAATTCTGTATAATAGCAAATACTGCTCCTATACCTAATACATAACTTAATGAATGACGTAACTTAATTGTCTGAAATCAATACCTCAATAAATTGAATTTTCACACTTTTCCCCTTTCAGCTTAGAGATATTGAGGTCCTACAGTAGGTACAACATAAGAAAAACCATAGATAAATACCTACACGCCAAATTTCATCAAATCAGACCACAGGTGTAAACTGTAGCTCCATACACATCCACACACAGACATTACTTTGAAAACCACTATCTGGGCTTAGGTAAATTTCCACCCAAAGATGAAATTCGAAACCGTCCACAAAAACAATACATTCTCCACATACTTGTAAAGGGGTAGAAAGTAAATAAGAACCGATCAGCTGATTTATGGCTGTACAACTTGTTTGCAGGGTGCGGGTCACAACGACGTGGAGCTGTACTCTCAATACCTGGAGCGACTGAAGCAGTTTGTGTCCGTGGAGCTCCTCAACTGACAGTTGCTAGCGGGCGAGCGCGACGACCCCCTCCCCCCCTCCACACTCAGTCTGAGCTCAGCTACCAACAGTTCGGTCACAGAGAAGCTCCTCTAGCTAGGATAAATCGCATATATTTTTATAGCCGAAATTGAATGCAAACAGACAAATCATGGCTGGGGTGAGTAGGGCAACTTTACAAAATAACATTTTTTTTACTAAATCTGTCCGAGATAAAGTTAGGCATGCTGCTGTAAGGTAGAACAAAACAATGGTTAAGGTAGAACACAAAATACTCAATTTCATTAATTTGTAAAAACGAGGTAGGCGTAGTTCTAAGTTGTTATAAAATGACAGTACTGTAATAGTCCTATGTGAATTGGCCAACTTAAGTGATGACTAACTGCATATTTGTCCAATTACATCACTTTGTAAGTCAGCTGATTCTATGGGACAAGCACAATTGTTTGTTTTATGACATTTCAGATTAAAATGCCATACTTTTTTCTCTTAATATTGAATGAATAAAAGTTTTTATTTGTTTTAAATTTCCACTGTTAAGTGATGTACTTAATGAGGTTTTTTTATTAATGGGATTTAGTCGCAGGACCCAGCCATTGTTTCATTCTACCCTAACGGTCAGATAGCTTTCCTCAACTTGACCCGAGATAGGATATAGTTATGGTGTTATTCCTTTAGTTACTATCAGTCCAAAAACATTGTACTACTTCAATACTGCCATTTAAACTTTCTGACTGCATTTGTCTGATCAGGTTGCTATGTCAAACGATACCATATCTATCAAAATGTGAAGTTAGCCTATTTAGTTTTACTTTTTGTGTAAAATTATGTCCCAGGGCTGGTAGTAGTTAAATTGAATGAACCTGATGTACATGTACTCGTAGCTTTGAAAATATTTGTTTTGACCATTTGGTTTGATTTCTTAAAGGCAATTTTCTCGTGATGCAACTAAGGTAGCTTGTCTCAAATTAAGGTGAGACTAAAAATCTTGTTCAAAAAATTTAACACTTTTTTCAATAACTAAATTATATTTTCTCATAGTATGTTACAATACATTTTAATTGCTGTCTCAAAGCTCACTCCATCAAAACAATTCTAAAGGTTGTGAATGATAATTTTACTTTGCGATTTTTAATCTCACAAAATCACTACTTTTTTCCCAAGTTGTCCTCATAAAACCCTACGCCTGATAGTTATTGCATTTGACAATTTAGTTGTACATATATACAATATCAGTAAGTAATTTCAGATGTGTGAAATAGTAAGAGTGAATTTATAATCCCGACATCCCACCCAGAGTTTGTACCCTTTTAGAGCACGTTTTCACTGCGGAATGGAAGATTTGTTTGAAAATAATACTTAAGCTACCAATAAATGTTTAGCCTATTCGCAGAATACGTGCCATTTTTAAAAAACTGGAATTTTTAAAATGCCTCATATGAAATAGAAAATTGATGTTGCCTTTTATAACATTAAACCTTTGTTGTTGCCTGTGTTTTTGAGAAGGTGTGTTTTTGCAAGAACACAGGGAACAAAAAAGGTAGTCGTTTCTTGAACTTGGAATAATAAAAGAAGATATATGACTTTTATTGCATTAAAAGCAAAAGGATTTACATTTTTGCAATTTAAATTACTAACAGATATGAAACAACTTTTAACTGTCGTCGTTTCAAAACCAATATAAAACTATCAAAGTTGTTATTTTATGGTAAATAGTGTCCCTTCGATTATTTGGATTGTTGCAATTTGGATAAAAGACTGAATTGAACTGTTGACTTTTAACAGATCTTTCCCATCGCTCTGAAATGTATTATTAATTGTATTGTTAAATACTGTACAACTATTTTTATTACTACAAGGGTACAATACTTATCACCGCCTTTTGCAGTCCACATATTTTCCTATAACCACGATCATTTGCTGACTATGGATATCGATTGACAGATATTCATCACAGCTTAATTGTTGATGCCAAAACCAATAATTGATTCACCTGTTTAATCTTAAGCGAACTCAGTAAAAGCACAGCATAAAAATGTACCCCAACATGTATAATGTTCTTAACTTGTAATTTTTGTATTGTATAATTAATTGTAATTTTTATTTTAACCCGCCTACTATACTTCTTAGGTTACTTAACCTGTTTAGTTGTAGCTAATTGATCATTCCATTACCAAAAGTAGAACAGTGAGATGTGGGATTTGTTCTATGTTATGTGTTAAAATCTATCATAGATTCCGTAAAGGTGTAATGAATTTGCAATATAAATGCTGAAAGTTTAAGGTGCATTTAAAAAGTTTATATTCTGATCTCCAATGACGATGTAATACTTCATTTATGCTTCTTGATTGAATCAGGTAGATGTAAATGAAAAAGTCTGTTAGAATGTAATTATTTTTTAAAGATCACTAGGTTCATTTACTTGTTTGCAAAATAAATTCATCATTGAAATATTCAACTTATTTTACCCAAAGTGGTGAATTGTGGTATCAAAATTGAGTTTTAGAAATTGAGTAGTCGTACCTACGATTAATTGTGGATGGTGGGAACAATTTAGTATTTTAATTTTTATATTCAGTTTAGAATAGCTTATGATACTATTTTGGGATCGATATGTTACTGTGTAAATAATGTTTAATATGTAATATTAATTTAACCTTTATTTTTGTAAGTCTACATATCAAATATTCTATCCGGTTTAAACAATTTTTCGCCACTGAACAGTTAAACTGTTAATTAGTTTCAAACAAGGCAAATTTAATTAATTCTTATAGGTTTTCCTGTCAATCATAAAACAATAGTACCGAGAATAGATATTGAAGGAGAGATGATGAGTATATGCAATGATCAATTTATAAAAAACACATTTGGGAATTGTATACAGTAGTATTTTTTTAGATGAGAATTTCCGCAGTTGGCTGTAGTGTCAAAGTTAAGGTGAGGTGGAGGGAATGAAATCGCTTCCCCTCAAACCGCTTAAATTTTGTGAACGGAGTATTTAGAAGTGTGTAAGCAGCTAGTTTTTTAAAGATGAGTAGAGCAAGTTTGATTTATCAAGGCAAAAAAACAATAAAATTTTGTTATGAAATGTTTTTTTTATTTTAATCCGGTACCAATTTTTCTTTTTTTCTTGTATTTCAAGTAGGTAAATTGTTCCTATAATTGTTTATGTAATTTTTATAATATAAACATGTCAACAAATTGCAAATTAAACCTGGTTTTACAAAACATTCATGAACAAAACTTGGGATGCTAAAAAATTAAGACTCAACTTTGATTTTGGTTTCTCTCAAACTCAGCTCAAATAAAATCTCTTGCTTGCACACCTCTAAAAATGTTATATATTTAATTTTCTTGCTCTAAACATAGATTATTTTTATAGTTTTAACTCATTTTGGTGACATTTTGATTAGCAATATATTGGTGCCTAAAGAAGCTGAAACAGTTTCTTACCTCAAACAGTGGTGATGCAATTGCCAAATTAATTTTACAGTTTGTCCTAACTTTATTTTAAGATATATTTATCTACTTGTGTTGTTATTTTGGTTCATATTTTTCTATGTTATTTTATGAGTATGTTTTAGACTGGCATTTTGGGCCCTGTGTATATATGCATGGCATAGGTTTATATTTCATAACGTTAACCAATGTTGTCCATCTAGAAATAACATAGTTTAAAATTGTCCCATTGCACTACGGATTGTAAAATAACGAAATATAAGATGCCTTTGTGGAACATTGGCAACATTGTGCATCATTCTTGTTAAGTTAGTGTTATATTTTGAGATCTCATTCCCTGCAAAACCGATTAGTAATTCAGTACAAACTTTCAAGTGTAGTATTAGTTTTCTTTCAACGCCCATAAAGCTTATGTTGTGTCAGTGCCTTAACATTGGAAATCCCATGTAAATGGTCTGCTGATTTTATTCATCTTAAATCTTTACCAGTGTAACTCTGCTTGTTTTGTTCGGCCAGACTTGAAAAAGAAAATAGTCTTGCAACTGTATGGATCATCCATAAATTCAATTGTTAAATTTACCAACATTACTATTTAAGTATTAAATTAACTAATATTTTTATTTATTTTTTACTAATTGTTAAACTAAATATAAAAAAGTTTTGACCTATAGTATCCATCTTTTTTATTTAAAACATGAATAAATAGCATGCTATTATACAAATATTTTTGTTTTTATACCATGAATTCTAGAAAAATAATGTTCGCGGTATGAGTGTAGGCCTAAATCAAATAGTGTTGAAAGGCATGTTTTATTCCATATAGAAATAAAAGGCCATAAATGTTTTTGTAGTTTCTAATCCTTTAAGTTGTGATTCCGATAAAAATTAATGTGTTAACTTATAACGGATCATCGCTCAGAACATTAATTTATGCTGACATAATCATGTTCTTGATGTTCAAGTTGTTCTTGATTCAAATTGAATAACAGTCTGTCCACTTTAACTAAATTTAAGGATTCATAATGGTAATTTTTTAAGATTAAGTACGTTCACAAATATAAGGCCATGATTTTATTTTGTAAATTAATATTTATGGATGATCCTCCACCACAATGTCAGAATTTCGTCATTTTCCATGAACCATATGTCCATTTTTACAGATAAGTAAGGTACATTGGAAACATTGGGATCGTTTTCATTCAAAAAATTGGGAAATATCCTCAGCTCACGCTTAAGAGACGGCCGTGCTCTTTCAGCTCTGGTATTTTGTACCGGAAATATACTTGTGACAAGCAAGGAAGATCCCGAACTGCGAGTACTGTGCAGAAATTCTTATTACGCAGGGTACAGCGTCTTCCTCCACCGTGAGCATTGTAGTACATGAGGGGAGTTGTGTTGGACTTTGTGTCTCAGACACCAGCGATGTTTTCTCTGTACCTTACTTCTCTGTGTCCCCTTATATACTTTTAGTTCTGAGACGTCAGGTTTATTTCCCCAAACACTGCACTCATGATCAATCTTATGTGTTTTGTGTTATCTGGGTTTCTATTTGTGTTAGCATGTTGTGTACATTTGTATCATTTTTTCACACACCCAAAGCTGTGTCTTTACTGAGGCAGGACTGGTTGGGAACGTTTGCACATCTATCATCCATACTGCGATGTGTAATATTCCCAGTTGTATTGGGAATGACTGTCGATCCACTACGTTTTTATATCGAACAAACATTGTATTAACTCCGGGTCGTTGACCTTGTATGTATGTACCTAGTGTATGATACGGTCGCTAAGTTATCTTGTATGTTGCCAATTCGATCTTTCGGTTTTATAATTTTATCATATATTTAAGTGTGTAAAAATGTCTTGTTAATGTTAAACAACACGTGGGTTTGTAATTTCTATATGAATCATATTGTATATTATATAATTACCGTTTCTTTGCACATGTTTTATTTGTATGTTTTCCTGTGTCTTTCGATCCCCTAATTGTGGTAAGTAGTCTGAATGATTGAATTTACATTTTGTAGTATGCATACACAAATAAGTGGTGATGACCACTAACTTACTTAAACAAAATTTCAAAAGCCAATATTGAACATACTTAACTTTTTCAACCTCAATTTCTTTACCACAGAATACTGGTCTATGCACTGTTGACAGATAACTGTCTACCAAAGACACTGAAGTAGCAAGATGGTTTTTAAAGTCACATAATGGATAATAGTCCAAGTGGTGTCTACAGGTAAAAGTCACATAATGGATAATAGTTCCAGTGGGGTCTGCAGGTAGCCATATAGAAATGTACTCTTGAAGGAAGAACCGAAAAGGCGAGAACTGTGCGAAGATTCCTATCGTATAGGGTCTTCCTTCTCTGTGCGTTGTATAGTACATGAGGGCAAGGGGGGTTTTGTAAGACACTACTTAATTGTATACTCTGTTGCTTACTTCTCTGTTGATAAGCTTCAGACTTATCAGTGACAATTATGATTGACAAGCAGAATTAGACGTGCGTAGTAGAATTTACTTTTTGATACTGAAATAGACAGCCCATTTATGTTGACCAGCTGTCACCAAATTGTTTTTACAAAAAGAATATAATTTTGAGTGAGCCAGTCGCAGATTGTGCTAGTGTCTAAAATTCTATTGACTACCTTATTTTTTGTCACTGATATAGATGACGTGATATTACGGATGGACAAGTCTCAAAATTTTGGGAAATTTTAAATCTTGTTCTATGAGACAAAATTTTAACTATGATTGAGATTTTTTCGAGGCGAGATTAAAAAAAAACTTTAAAAACTCATGCAGAAAGTCAATGCAATACCCGGGTGCAAATACAGGAGCGCGTAAACTCCACCCACCGCAAAAACACTATCACCTGGCTGTGGATGTTTAGCGTTTACTTTGGGAAGGTGTTGTTATTTAATTAATCATCAACATGTAAATTTTGTTTTATAAATTTTTGTTTTTTTAAGAGGTTGGGGACCTCTTTTAACCTTGCATTTGCCCATCCACATAGATTACATATCTGTGCGTGGAACGTATCCAGCAAAGCAAGGGGTGAGCCAGTACAGTACGATGGTGAACTGTACTGATAAGTCCGTGACGCTACCAACTGAGCCACCGACTCACTTAAATTTTGACATCACAAATGAGAAGTTTTGTTAAGTGTAAGCAGTGTGAGACATGTTTTAACATAGCCAAAACAAGTCACTCCAAAATCATTCTAAAAATAACACAAGACTGAAAAATTGTTACTCGATATTTAACTAGAGACTGTTTAGTTTCAGACTGATAAATTTTGTACTTTTCAAAGTTTAACTATATCCTAACTGATATCACCATGTTTCCTATGCAGAATAGTTATTTTTAACAAGGCAGGCCTAATTAATATTAGTTTTTTTATATTAATGTTTTTAATTAGGTATAGATTTTAAATATTCTTGTCTATTATTATTATTTTTGTATTTAACCAGCCATCTGTCATAAATCAGTAGGTATTTAAAAATGTTACAAAATCAGGTTAAAATGTCAAAACGTGCATTTCCCGTTATGTACGAGAAGGGAAATCCCGTCTCAAAATTTTATGAGAAATTAAAATCCCGTCTAGTCTCGTCTCCAACTAAAAATCTAATCTCGTCCATCCCTACGTGATATAAAATATGCTATAGCTTAAGATAAGTCGTCTTATCAGATTTTCTTGGTTTGTACACTTATTCAATTTTATAGAAATTAATAATTTAAATCAGCACAATTATTCGGTGGCGTGCTTTAACTACGTCCATTTTTATTTAAAAACTGGCAACCTCTTTAAAATGGGGATGAAACTTCTACTTCTACCAATAATAAATATTGGAAGGGTTTAGATGTTCCAAGTTCAGTTATGTTAGCAAGCAAAAAGTAAGTATATTTTCTCCTTTCAGTAACAATTTCTGCTCACCAAGAATGCTTTATCATGAAATGACGATGGGAAGACAGCAGAAGGCTTGAAGGTTCAAAGTGGTAATGGATTTATCCCACATAAACATTTTTGATTTCTTAAACATAGATTTAATTTGGGTCAAGTCATAAATTAACAGTAAGTTTCCAACGGAAGCCACTTGGAACTCTCCATGGCGTCCCACAGGTTGTAATCTCGCTCCATCAGTTCTCTGTTCCACGCTTCCACATCGGTTGTTGTGTTGTGGTCTGTAAAACCAACATGTCCAATCAAATCTTATCATTATCTATTCACTAAATAAAAAGTACATGTGTTGAATGGATTCAAATATACAAATATTAGAAAAAGAATGCTTAAAATATATTATACAATTTAAAGTAAACAATAAAATTAAATACAACAGCAAACCTGCAGACAAAGCGAATTTCCATCGAAAACCCCGTTCCCATGGTCCGATCATGCTGGTTCCCCAACTCTTTTGAATAAACGCAGATTTATAAGTTTGTACCAAATTTCATCGAAATTGGATCATTTTTGCTTGAGTTATCATGCTATCGGACACACATATATGAATTTGAACGGATTGTGTTTTTGGCCTCTAGAGACATCTAAATGAAAAAGTAATTTGGTCCCAGGTCCAGGTCTTACTATGAGACCTACGTTAATAGCTTATTCTTTGTATGGAAAATTGGATAACATTTAAAATTTTGGTACTTTCCTGTTAAAGGGAACATTCATTATTATCGATGATTTATTTTCGATAAATCGATATTTTTGTTTTACTTCACGATTGGTATTGGTAGGCTACATCTGTTTTAATATCGTCATACGCGTTTAAATTACAAATCTTACTGAGCGTGAACAAAAATATTGGTAGCAAATAAATAAATATTCATTTTGTTAAGAGACTGAAATAAAAACAATAATGTTTTTTTTCACATGGTGAAAATGTGGAATTCAAATTCAATTTATGTGCTAATTGTTGCTTTAATCTTACTCACCGATGAGCTCTAAGTCATCTTGCACCTGCGTCTGAGACTCCAGCGGTACTTGCTGTATGCTGGAGTGAACGGTGTGTGATCCAGGTGAAGAGCCACCGTAGTAGCTCTGCCACGACGAGTAACTCTGCCAATAGTTGTGGTTGTCGTAGTACTGGCTGTAGTCCTGAGTAGCGCTGTAACCACCAGCCAATGCTAACGTACTGGGAATAGAAGAAGATAAACATCAGGAGAGACGGCGAGCGACCCTTGTGCCAGGGTTAAGGAAGCAATAAGTAATACCTGGGCCACATTTATACTGTTCAATGAAATGGCAACCATACATAGTAGGTATTTTAAGCCAAGTATGAATGGAGATGAGTGTAGGATGAGTGGCACGATCTTGTAGTCTTGTTAGTGACTAAGGCCGAGATTCCTTAGACACAGCTGTTAATTAATAGCCCATACAGCTAATGGCAACTAAGGGACCTACAGTTTATAGTGGAATCCGAACCACATTTTTCCTTGGTATATACGAATTGGTCTAATGATCAGAATAGTACTGCGGATGGTCGTAGTACTCACTCGTGCGGACGTTAATCCACACCAGGGAGTATCGCATCCACAGTGCATGCCTATAAATATTCACAATTCGTGACCTCCTAGTAGCTGGATTACAGGACGACGTCACCCGTCCCAGTCATAAAAAAAAATATGGGCTACGGTAGATAAAGCTGAATAACATCGACCACGGTTGAGCGAGTTGAAATAAATGGGGCAAAGTAAAGAACAGTTGAAAAATATGGTCCTCGTTAAAAAAAGTTGAAAATATGGGCCACGGTAGATAAATTTGAATAAATACGGACCACAGTAGAGCAAGTTGAAATAAATGAGCCAAGGTAGGGTAAGTTAAAAAATATGGGTCACGGTAGAGGAAGTTATGGGCCTTGGTAGAGCAAGCTGAAAAATATGGGCTACATAAACCAAGGTAGATACAGAAACATTATGTCTACACTACATTTATCAAACTTACCTTCCAGGATACTTATATGATTTGGGTACTGCAGTGCTTGTCTTGATAGGTTTATTTCCAAGTCCTTTGAAGCCGTTCATGTTGGTCAAGGCATGCTTTTGTTCTTCCAAATTGGTAAACTGGACAAACCCATAGCCTTTTTTATGGCCGGTACTGTCCATCACCACTGCCAAACAAAAACATGGCTGAATAACAGTTAAAGTCACCATAAGCAACTGTGTATCTGCTTAACCCTCCGAGTGTCACGCGTCATAAAAATGACGCACAACACACTTTGTGTAGGGTCACGCGTCACTTTTATGACGCACAAACATCGTTTACGGCGAAGGCTCTATGACTGACTGAATCGGATTGAACTGGATCGAGTTAGGTATCGTTCTTTCCGTAATATTCTAAGCTTTCTCCAGAGGTCTGTCTCTAAGCGCTATTCATTTTAGTTCCGAAAATATTGTAGCAGACAGCTGACGTGCGTGTATTTGTAAACAGCTAGGTTCCCCCGGACCGATGACTGATGTGTTTTATTACGTTTATCATTGTTTTAGTGTTAAAAATCAAAAGTAGTGATATACGTGGTGCATTATAAGAAGATTTAAGTGGTTTTGAAGTGCTGGTTGATGATCCTGAAGAAGTAGGTAGTGATATTGATGTAAATTATCAGCCAGATTCCTAGCTATGGTTAGGCTATGCATTCTTAGCTAAACGCTATGTACTGAAATCCGTTTTTCGCTCATAACTTATTTATTTGATAACTTACCTCGCTATATGATTATATATTTGTAATCCTCATTAAATTTAGAACAAAGTGGCTATTTTCAAATATTTATAGGCCTATAATTTATACAATTTCATTGAGCGCGAACTTATTTTTTTTTTGAAAATTTTCGAAATTATATTTTTTTTTTACCTAAAAATTTTTTTTTGAAAAAATGTTCCTTATGTTTTATATATAATATTGAAGCCCATGATTTTCCAAACAAAATGGTATATAGAACATTAGAATTGACATTGTTTTAAGCTTCTCAGATCCGTTTTAATAAAACCTTGCAAAGGGGCCAAAAATAGGTGGACATTAAGGCCTAAACTATGGACACTCGGAGGGTTAATGATATATTATTCTAGACAAACCTTATATAGGCCTAATAATAACTTTAATATAACAAAAAGTTTGATATTTTCTTAAAGTATTTTTTTAAGTAATTGGATTTAGCGATGAAAAAAGATTTCAACAAATTACTTTCTACAAATAGGCCTAAATTAACTTCATCTTACTCAAAAGCATCATGCTTTTGCAAAACTGATTCCAACAATAATATTAAAAACGATTTCACAGCAACATAACATAACAAGCCAAACTATCAATTTTGATAGTACAATAATGTCACAAAATATTAATGTTTCAAAATCTATTATCTTCATTGAACTCTCATTATTGAAATTGAATGTGTAAACTCAATCACTACATGAACCAGCTAGCCAATTTATAATTCAATTAAATAAAAACCTAGTTTAATGAACCATTTACAGATAGGGCTGCCTTCCAAATAATATTTTCTCTCTTGTCTTACAATACAATGAAAATGTATGTGAAATAAAATATTAAATAGTTTATAGTAAGTTGTTTTATCAGTTTGGCTTAAATGTTGAGAAGCCACTGTACCTATTTTTTTTTTCTTTTCAAAAAGAGGTCAGTATCCTCTTTAACCTTATTTGCCTGTCCACATAGGTTTCTGAACTGTGTTTGGTGAAAACCCCAGCAAAGCAAGGGATGAGCCGGTACAGTACAAGTTGAGTGAACTAGTGAACTGTTGATAAAAGTAGTGGCAGGTACCAGGATCTAAACCCACAACATTGCTGTCTTGGGCCCAAAGTCTGAGCACTACCAACCGAGCTACTGACTCACCAACAGAAAATACCAATTGACAACAGCATATTACAACGGTGACTCGGCTGAACCTCATTTTCATTTGAGACTGGCTACAAAATTTAAATGAGAATGGACAGTCTGGTTATGTCTTAAGTTGAAGCTTTTATTTCAAACTTTATTACAGAAAATGTGTAGATGTGGAGACCAACTTTTTACCAAAATTTACTGACAAATCATAATACCGGTACAACCCCAAATTGCAATCAAAATAACCCCATAAACTAGGCCTACTGCAGCAAAATAACAATTAGCTATATACACACAAAGCTTGACTAATTTATTAAACTAATTATCAATTTCATTCATAACCCAGATATGGCTGCATTTATGAATGATTGCTATCTCTAAAACTACTATGGCATTAGGTCACTTCTAAAAATAAACCTCCGTAATACCTTTGGCAGCTCTGACTGATTGGTAGCGTGAAGCGAAAGCTTTGTAAAGCTGATAGTCGTCAACATCTTGAGACAAATCTCCAACCCAGAGTGAGAACATGTTCACGTTCATTTTTCCGCTTGAAGTTGCGTTATTCAGGCGGAATCGAGATGGCTGCAATTTTAAGAGAAGAGTTAAGTTGGGAAACAACAATCCATACAAAGAATATACTAAACACACTCCTATTATTGATGGTAACTATAGGTATTGAAATTTAGAATATTTTATATTAACATGCCTATTTTATATTAGGCATGAATGTGCCTACACATGCTGAAGGTGTATGTTTTTAACTTAAATCCCCTGAGTTAAAGACTTAGTCAAATATACATTTTTTTCACATTTTGTGCCAACAACGAGTAAAAGTGAACTACCAAGCTTTAAAATTAGAATTACAAACCACTGACCCCCAAACAAAAGAGTTAAAATGTTTATGTAAATTGGTTCTCAATGTCTAAATTACCTTAGTAAGTCTGTTGATACAATAAATTAACTGTAGGAAATTATGATTGTTAATAAAACACAATATTTAGCAAATTACCTAATGCTGTAAATAATGTAAATTAAAAAAAATAAATCTTGCTTTCAAAATGATTTAAGTTATAGACTTCTATTAACAAAATAGTAAATATTTACACTGTTGTGCAACACCTATTGGACAACCATATGATCATTAAAATCTTTACACAGAGAAAAAAAAATAAATTTTGAAAATAAAAACCAAACTTTTATTGACTAGCCTATATAAAACATGAAAGAAAAATATTAAATCAAAATCACGACTTAAATGCATTGTAATATTAATTTCCACAAAGATAAAACCGTAACAATTAATGTAAAATAGAAAAAAAAATCTGGAAACAATTTTAAACCATTGACAGTTTTGCATTTCATATTAGCCTAGTAATGCTAATACATTCATCTAAAATTGAATTATGTTTCAATATGGTATTTGTTAGCAGGCACTGGTTAAGAAAATAATTTTAAGGTTTTTTACACAAATTTTTAGTTGTGTTGTTTTTCTTTATTTTACAAAGAGACAATGGGACAGTAAAATTATTTATCTTTAAATTCATTAAAGCCACAATTCACATTTCATGGATATTTTCTGGCAAATTATATCAGTGGTTTAGATACACTATCGTTTTATGCCCAAAGATAAGAAACATGTGTAGTACTTAGCACATTTCATTCTTGTTTGTTATATGTAAATATAGTGTAGAGAAAAACATGACTGTGACAGTAGACTGTACGGTAAGTTTGTTTGATAATTATCATTTATCATTGTTTAAGGCTGAGACGAACACCTATGTATGAGTTTCAAGGTGGTTGAGCGTAGTAGAATGGAGTGAGATACTGACTAAGACCAGCTGTTTCTTACCCAGGACCATTTATTAGCCCAATCATCAGGAACAGCTGATGGGTTCAGGTTCAAACCTTCAACCTACTGACTACTTTCTGTAGTGAACCTGCTATCATAGACAAAAAGAATTAAATATAGACCGTCAGCTGTGCTGCGGTTACCATAGGTTCTGGCGCACACTGCTTGGAGCACCACGGTAGTTACGGCGTACGCGCTACGTAAACTACAGCGGTGTGCGCCGGAACCTATGGTAACCATGGCAACCGCAGCACGGCTGACAGTCTATATTTCATTCTTTTTGTCTATGCTGCTATTCACAGTCATCAAAGTACCATACTGGAGTTAATACCAGAGAACAATGAGGGGATTTAAAAACGGAATTACAAAATTGTATGGTGTATTAAAATAACAAGTTGCTAATAATGACACTGTACCTAGTTTCAAGAACTTTTTAATTAAGTTTTTAATAAACAACTTTTATTTTAAATAACCTTTTATTTTGTTGGTTGCCCTGTGTTCTTGTTTCGCCACTGGGTGTGGCATCTTCAGAGTTACCAGTGCACTAAAACTAATTCTAATAGGTAGTACGAAAAGTTGCTAATAATTATTTAAACAGTAAAATCTGTAACCTAACAAAACACAAACCACCGATACTGGTATTACTACTTATAAAGCACATTGTTACCCAAAGTATAGTATAGTCAAAGTATAGTGGGTTAGGTACTTACAGGATTAGAGTTGGGGATGAATTTTCCATTTAATTTGTGCATAGCTTTAATGGCTTCGTCGTCGTTTTGGAAATGAACAAAACAATAGCCACATAGTTCTCCAGTAATTTTGTTCCTCATTACTTTCACGCTCAGAGGTTTTTCACCCATTCGTTGGAAGGCAGACATGATGAATTGCTCATTCATGTAAGGTTCCACCTAAAATAAAATGAAAACATTGTTTAAACATTGATAAAACAACGACCATTTTGATTTGGGAGATTTGTTTTAGATTGCTTGGGGAAAAAGTGCATGAGAAGCATTCAATCGGGGTTGTTACAATGTCCAGCAAAGGTTCAAAAGGTGGTAAAAACAGCTGATCAGACCATTATTGTATAGTCTGTTTACCAATATTATAAGTAGTAGGCCTACCAATGATGTAACTTAACACTACTTACCATTGACACGTAACCAATTCAACCTACAAGAAACATCAGCTGACTATCTGATTTGACTAGTTTAAAAGTTGAATATTTTTGTAAAACTGCAGATGAAACTTACAATCATCTGAGTAAATATGTCACAAGGAATACCTTCTCTACAACATTGATTAATGTTGTATGGTTTTTTTTTGCTGTGGTTGAGTGTCTTTTCTTTTTTTCTTCTTAAAAATAGTCTTTTTATCCTGACTCAAGATTTTAGTATCAAACAATGCTAAATGCATCCATTGACTTTAATAAGCCACTGATATGAATTAACATATTTGTAATTTTAGAAAAATTTATTTAAAATGTTAAGACTATAATAACATGATTAAGTTTGTTTTCATCAAACGGAAAATTTGTAGTTCATCATGCTGATCCGGCTGAATTCACTTTCACCACTTCCTTGTCAACAGTGTCAGTCGAAACGAGCAGCCATGGTTCTTTAGGTATCTGGCTGACTTTCAATCGAGTTTTAAGAGGAGCGATAAGCTTCCCAATCATAGTCTTGCACCGTTCTGATACAACCGGTTCTGAGGGGAATTTCAGTTTGGATTGAACCTGTTTAACCAGCTTGTTGTAATTGGTATCATCAAAAGGAAGTTTACCAAATACCATTGCGTAAAGCACCACTCCCATCGACCACACGTCAGATAGCATCGGGTCATAAGCGATTCCTTTCAGAATCTCTGGTGAGGCGTACGCGTAGCTACCACAAAACGTTTCACTCAAAACCGGACTTCCATCACTGCGAGGTTTCATATTGCCACGAGCAAACCCGAAATCTGACAATTTCAAATTGTAACTCCCATCCATGAGGAGATTTTCACATTTCACGTCTCTATGAACGACCCCGTGATCATGACAATAACGGACAGCGTCTGCTAACTGGGTAAACCAATTTTTTGCTCGGTCCTCATCAATGTGGGATTCCTTCCTAATGATATCCAATAGGCTTCCGTTTTCAGCGTATTCCATGACTATATACACTCTGTGAGTCGTTTCCACTGCTTGTAAAAATTTAATCAAGTTTGGATGCCTTAGTCCTTTTACGACTTCAATTTCTCGAGGAAGGAACCTGAGTAGGTAATCTTTAGGAGCTTGAAACTTGGAAACAATTTTTATAGCGACTTGATCCTGGTGCCTCTCGGATCTTGCTAGTTTCACAGTGGCATATGAGCCTGTTCCTATGATTCTTCCAAGGGTGTATCCGTGGTTTTCCAAGACAGATGGTCGTTGATCGCTGATTGTGTCAGGATCCTCAGTTCGACTCTTGGTTGCCTCTGATGCTTGAGTCTCTGTCACAACTAGTTCTTTAGCAGTGGCCATTGAAACGGTTTATCTGTTCACATTATGACAGAAATTTAAGGTCTAAGAATAAGAATTTTGGGCTTGTAATTTCATCACCTTGGAAACAAATAACTAAGAGAACTAAAATATATTTGATTCACAATTAATTTTTTTCCCTGAGACAATCTTTTGTATTTTTTGAAGTGGTGTGATAGATAAATCTGCCAAATCAGACCATTTCCTAAAAAAATTGTCTATGGTATCGAGTAAAAGGACCCTGAACCAATATGAACCTCAATAAGCCTAAACTGCCATTTTAACTTAAAACCTTTATTTATTTAAAAACCTTTTGGGTATAGTTGTTTCAAAATATTCTAAAACAAGTGTTTTCAAAGAAATAGCCTATTTACCTGAACAAAGTAGGAATGTAACTGAGCCTTTACCCTAACTTTGTTACAGTGATAGCAAAATAAAAGTCTACAACTCTATCTGGGTTTGTATTACCATTGACTTTTGGACAATGAAGTAGAAATCCCATCTATATAGACCAGCTATCGCCAAGTTTGTATTAAAAAAAAGCGTAGTTCTAGGAGCCAGTTAAAGATCCCACTAGTGCTTATTTAAAATCCTTTTTTTACGTCCTCATTCTTTCTTACCTATCTGTTGTAGTTTGTAGGGCATTTATCAGATGCTACAATAAGTAAGGCTTACAATAAGTCGTCCCATCAGTTTGACCAGGTTAAAAACCCTGCATATTTCTAATAAATCATTAAACTTACCGGTAATTAACAACAGCACAACCTGTCGGTGGCTCACATCAACTACATCCATTTTTAATTAAAAACTGGTGAAAACTTTAATATAGGGATGGGATGGAATGTCTTTAGTAAGACAGTGTGTAAAACCAAAACAGAGTATCTTCATGAACTTATAGATTGGATGGTGGTTTGTAAGGTAAGGTAAGCTAAGCTTAAGCTATTTCAGTCCCAGAGGCTGAATATGGGGAATTGGTAGGCCTAGTAACAAAAACAAACCTTCACTCACAACACTATTATGAAGCGTAATTCAACAAAAGCTAGCAACTAAAAGCTATAATTTTTACCGTAGTTTATCTGAAATGTGCTACAAATTGGGAATCAAGATTAGAACAACTAGGCCTACTTCTATTCTTGGCATTGGGTATACCAGTAGCCTAAGCTTTTTGTGGAGTATACTGTTAGGTTTGATCAGCTCTCAGTTTGACTCTCTCTAAAGCTTTGTCCACCAGGAAATTTATTTGCAGAAAAATGTTTGCCTACTGTTTCCCGAATGTTTCTAAATTGTTTGAAGGATGTTTGTAAACTGTATGAAAACAATCTGGACAAATTCCCTCATATTACAAACTAAGCTGATGACAAACATCCTCTTTGTGGAGAGTTTTCCCAAAAAATGGAAACAACGTTACCGTAAAAAAGAGAAAAGGCATCACTCACATACTTCTGTATTATCTGAGAAATTATCTGTTTAGATATTTTAGCATGTACTCAATTCTTGATGAATCGATGCATGACATTTCTTCAAAAAGCACTACTCCAACAAGCATTGCTTTGAAAAGAATGTGCTTCTTTGAATGTTACTGGTCAGGCACTGCTCAGAAGTAACTTACATAGACTATTTTGGACAGTGCCTTTAGGAGCACCTAGATCTACTGATCTGAAGGTATACGGACAGTCAGGCAATGATCAGGAAATATGCATCTGGATCTGAGCAATTGATACTTTATTATTAACATGTTCGCTAGCCATGTAGTCCTACCTACTCTGGTAGCCACATAAACTCTAAGAAATTCCTCCCCTGTGTACCATATCAGTATGACCACCCCCTCAGACCTGGTGCGCAGACATGTACTAGCCTTTTGTCAGCATAGACAGGCAGCACAACACAGAGACCAAGCATACGGTATACTACAGTAACTTATTTAAATATACCGCCACCGTACGAAAATTTCAAGTCTCTGAAATAGACCGGGATCTCATAATCAACTATTTAGTTGGCTATTAATCCAAACTAGACATATCCCCATGTTAAAATTGACGTCAGTTTTAAATCAAAATCGATGTAGTTGTGACAGATTGCACTGCTATGAATTACTGATTTCTGTATTAAAATACATGAACTTTTTTACCAGGTACCTAATACTCATTCTGATGGAATGACTAATTTTGAGCTACAGCAACTGTTACAGCCAATTAACTAGGCTATGTCAGCAACCAAAAATAAGGTGGAAATGGAATTTCAGAGACTAGCGCATTCTGTGACTGGCTCACCCAACTAAATTCTATTTTCATAAAACATTAGCAACATCTGGTCCATATAGATGGGAAGTCTACTTCAGTATCCAATCGTCAATGGTTGGGCACATTCTAACATCGGGCTCGTATATCTGTGCTGCCGGGCTATTTGAACTTAACTGCCCAGTACTTATAATGAGCTGCAGGGCTATATTTTTGCAAAAAAGCCTAATATATACCGGGTAGTAAACGTGTTAATTTATTTATTTCCCACCAAAAACTCGAATTACAATAAGTTAATGCATAGGACTACATTGGTCACGCACTTATCCGATGTCAACGAGACAATTTCAAAAATACAAGCATCAACCTCGTTGTCTAACACATATTCGGGGTAGCGGATTTTTATCCCCCTGGAATTTTACCCCCTGGGCAAACGTGACGTCACAAACCAGGGGGTAAAATTCCGGCCGCGAACTTTTGAGTTTCGCGACATCAGCTCGATGGATTAAACGCGGAATTAAACATATATTTTCACGGTTGTGAGTTTAATCAGAACACATCAAATTATAAAAACCTAGAATGTACAGCCCGGATTTTTACCCCAAGAATTTTACCCCCGTTTTTTTACCCCCGGAATTTTACCCCCCGGATTTTTACCCCCGGATTTTTACCCCCGGAATTTTACCCCCTGGCCAGATATATAAAGTAGTGAGAATTATTAATTTTCGTCATTCATTTTAATTAAATGGTAAAGATTTTATTATTAAGTAGCCTATTTTAATTTATATGTATAACATTAACTAATCGAACAGGGTTTTAATATTACTTTTGAGATTCTAGTGTCAGGATTCGATCTTTGAAGCCAACTGGTTAATATGATCAAAATAAAACAGCGAATTCTGTTTACTTAGTTGAGATTACAAAATAAATAAATAAAGATAGGCTACTAAATGATGAAATGCTTACAATTAATTAAAAACAGAAATGAGAAAATCAATCATTCAATTTCTAAAATCAGCCAGGGGGTAAAATTCCGGGGGGTAAAAATCCGGGGGTAAAATTCCGGAGGTAAAAATCCGGCCCGTACATCTTCAGTTGTCTAAACGCTAGTTATATGGACAGGGGGTAAAATTCCGGTTTTTATCGCTAATCTAATTAATCACGCTCTGACTATTTTCATTAGACTTCCAAATCCGCGGGGGTAAAATTCCGGCCGCGAACAAACTTTTGGCCACTCAGGTTACTACGTCATAGTGACGTCAGCTTTGCCCAGGGGGTAAAATTCCAGGGGGATAAAATTCCGGCGACCCACATATTCTAACATATTCCAATTGCGGTAAAGCGGGATGTAGCTTTTTTAAACCCAGTTAGCTATAACTTACGCTACAACCTTCCTAATCTAACCTAACTTCAAAACACTTAATGCACCCACTAACTTAGCCTAACTTAAGTTAATTAATAGGGCCTGTATCTATCATGTGAATGCTTAAACATAACCTTTGACAATGACATAACCTGATGTTACTAGGCTAGCATCGTTTTGTATAACACTTACCCCTCCCATCCACAGTTGACAGTGAACAATATTGGAAGACATTGTTTGTTTCAGTTAGTTCCACACTTTTTTATACAATAGACTTCCTTAAAGGGAAATTATTTATACCGGCAATGAAACTTGCAGATAAGGCCTAAGTAGGCTATCTAGCTATGTTTATAAATTATAAAAGATTTAAGTTACTGCTAATCGGAACAGATAACTTAGAAGTGTGATGTATAAATACAAGCTAAATTATCTGCATGAAAATCAATAGCACAGTTTTAGTCACTTATAAATTAAATAGTATTATTTATCATCGTTTACTGTCACTGAGAACAGAACACACACACGCCTCACGATCGACAGAATCGAATCTAATCGAATCCAACCAAAACAAAACAGAAAACAAACAGAAACAGTAAACAGACCTTCTTCTTCTTCTTCTTTTCTAGTTTGCTTGTAAAGCTGGCTTGATTTAACTAAACATGTAACCACACTACTTCATCAGTACAATTTTCCCGGTTTTTTTTAGAATGTTAGCAGGATACTAATTAGAAAATTTTAATTTGTCTGTTACTTTGTTTGTTAATTTTTAATCTTGTCAAATTTTTTAAGTTCATGTTTCTTTATATGTTAAAGTTGGATTTCTGTTTCTTTTAAAAATTTCAGTGATTGTGGCCATAGCTTGCAATTCTTTTCCATAAGGAGTGTTTGTATAGTTGGTGGTGATTGGTGAATTCCAATTTGCTGTTTTATTTTTGCATAAAGGCTGTTTTTTCCTATTGTAGACCGGGCACTCTGTAATTATGTATGTGCTCTATTGTTTCAAGTTGTCCTAGTTCACACTTACAAAACGGCCGTATTGTACCATATGGAGATTCCCTCTTCTTAATTTTAAATAGCCTTGTAACATTGTATAGATGACCAAATCTTAGTTTACATATTAGAGAAGTGTCAGTACGGCTTAGTCTAAGCAGTTCGTCCAATCAATGAAAAACGTTCAAAAACAAAACACAGGCATGTAAGAAACCCTGTAGTGTAGTAGTCAGCATATAAAAATAAAAGCTATACATTGTGCTCTTGGATTGGACTCAAAGATTATAGAAAATCGTTGTGTAATACAATAGTTTCAAATACAGCTTTAAACCGAATTGAGTATGGAAATATAGAAAATAGGTTTAGTATATTTATAATTTTAGTATGTAATATTTCACTTCACTTTGGATTTTAGTCACCTTTTTTCCTTCCACCATGGATTTTAGTGCAACTGGATCGGTGCCTCACGTGTCAGCTGTGATTAAACACTGGAAAGTTGGGCGTTTCTGTTTCTACAGTCATGTTAATGACTCACTATTTTTTCTGTTTTGTTATTCAGTCATCATCAGGCCTACTGAATACGTTGGTGATCGCGGAACACAATAATGAAACATTATCAACTGTAACGAGAAGAGCGGTAGCTGCCGCCGCAAATCTAGGCGGAGACTTGTCAGTGCTGGTCGCAGGAACAAAATGTAGTGGGGTACGTTTCTATTTTTTTATTAGCCATTATATAGTTCTATTTCTCTTTTAAGACAATGTTTAGCAGATTAATCTGAAGTGGCCAATGAATGACAATTTTTAATTATTGTTTTGTCGTTACTATTTATAGAGATGGGTAAACCACATATAGGTGTGTGTTTTAAACCAAATATCAGTGTTAAATCAATTAATACAAACAATATGGAGTTGTAATACCATAGATAAAACGTTAGTCTATGGTAATACATTGCTTAGCTTTGTTACTAAGACCAGCTGTTTCAAACCGAAAAAAAATATTGGTCCGGGGTCCCCCAATGTACCGGACCGGGTCCGGGTACTGATGGTCTTATACCATATGGCCCTATTATGGAAAATTCGGTAAAAAGGAACTTTTTTCTTTAAATACGGTTTAAATAATATTGGCGTATTCTAAATGAGCCTACAGAAGTATTTTTGCGTAAATATCACTACAATGAATGCATAATATATGTTGCAGGTTGCTCAAGAAGTTTCCAAAATTCCCGGGTTGAAAAAGGTGTTGCTCGCTGACGATGCGGCGTTCAATGGGTTTTTGCCAGAAAGTATCACCCCATTAGTGATGGCTTCTCACAACCAGTTCAAATTTACGCACATTCTTGCTGCAGCGACAAGTTTTGGGAAAAACTTACTGCCTAGAGTTGGGGCGAAACTAGATGTATCACCGATATCTGATGTTATTAAGATTAAAAGTCCAGATACTTTCGAGAGGCCGATTTATGCAGGTAAACATTACTAGGTGATTCATATCAAATGTTTTGAAGTTGGATGACAATGTGGTTTACGTAATCTTCAATTAATAATTTGACAGGGTAGTTTTCAGTATTTTTATAAAGTAAAGCATGAAAGGAGTCAATTAAAGTATAGTTTTTAGCGGTCACACTAATTTTACTTCTGTTCATGAGGTACGGATGAAACGCTGTGATTTAATAGACTAAGTATGCACTAACATCGGAGATAAATGCAAAGTATATTGGTAAAAATAACTAGTAATATAACCTAGTAAAAAATTGTTACAATCTTAGTAATAGTAACATTTTTAACCAAAACTTAGTACACTTAGTACATATATTGCGATTGATAATAAGTCATATCAATATTAAAGAATAATGATTATTATTTACTTTGGAGTCTAGTTCGATTACATTTTAGTTATTTGTTTTAGATCTGTATATTTGCCATGCAACAATCTTAACTAATAATGTTTTTGTTCAATTTAGTAAGGTATCTTGGGCTGTTTATTGACCAAAGCCCTTTAAAATCGTTAAATGTACCCATACACCGCCTCAAAAAGTATTTACGGGCATTTTTTTGTATTTTCAGGCAAAGCAATACTTACACTAAGATCAAAAGACCCAGTGAAAGTAGTAACCATTCGAGCGACTGAATTTGAACCGGTTCCTCCGGAAGGAGGAAGCGGTTCTGTAGAAGCAGCTCCAGTTGGCGATTACACATCAAAAACATCAGAATTCGTTGAGCAAATTTTAGAAAAAAGTGACCGACCAACGTTAACATCAGCTAAGGTCATCGTAAGTGGAGGTAAGTTCATTTAATTGAATGGTGTTCTGAACATCTTATAATTGTTTTGTTAAAATCACGCAAAGATATTTTTTGTTGCTAAATAGAAATTGTTTCCATAGTTAAAGATGTGATGGGTTTAAAGATGATACTTCAATATATACAAGTTAAATAACGTTTCGTCTGTTCATTAAGTAGGTTTAAGTTTTGCTAGCCCACCATAGACCTTCAGAGCCGACACGAGTCTTATTAATTCCTGTCTGTCTGTGTGTTTATTGGTGGACCAATAAGGTGATTTGCCGCATATTCTGGAAAAAAAACTAGATCACCAACAATATTCAACTTTTCCTGTGCTATTTGAGGACATCTTTAGCTCTGTAATTAATGAACAGTAAAACCCCATCAGTTCCCCTCTAATGGCAATCAGAAAAGTGTTTATACAAAGATATTTCTTTGCAAACTAAAATGAAAGTTTTAATTTGAAATTGGGGTTCTAGCAATATGTTTTGTTTGTTCCTTCAAAGGACTTTCAAAAAGAGCCTATATATCCAAACTTCACTTCAAAATACGAGTAAAGATACTAGTCTTGTAAATAAAGTTATCAAAAGCAAACATAGTGCACACAGTACATTTTTTGCTACTAATACAAATGATCACTTCAGGTAAAGGTGTTGGATCTAAAGAAAGTTTCAAAATACTCTACGATCTTGCTGATAAGCTGAAGGCTGCAGTGGGAGCTACCAGAGCTGCTGTAGATGAGGGATTTGCTGCAAGCAACATGCAAGTTGGCCAGACAGGCCAAGTTGTGGCTCCGGTAAGTATAGAGTTAGCATTGATTATATATTTCCATTCATTGTATATTTCAGGTTAACAGTTGTTATTCGATCTAATGAAGAAACTTTGGACCACAAGGCGACAATCAGGTATTTTAACCTTTTATTTATTTGTCAACCAATTGGTCCGGAAACACCACAACAAAATATAATGAAGAAAGCAGGCAAATTTCGGAAAAATGAAGAAAGTCACATTTTCCGGTGCACGCTCAAGTTTCATATGTGAGGCAAAGCCAAACACAGGAAAACCAAATTTTACGTGTGCTGAGAAGCCGAGCACGTGAGAGTTATTTTTACCAACCAATGGAGAAATTGTGGGAAAATAGCTTTGGGTACGAGTTGTAAACAATACTTTTCATCACAACGCAAAAATGCGCACATACAGATTCCTCAGTAGTATTAAAATAGTTTTGGACCACTCTTTATCATTGAAAATTGACTTCACAACGTATATGGTTCAAAATTCATTTCCGTTGTAGCTCCTGAGCTGTTATATTCTATATGATAAATAGGTTTACATACCTTATAAACAACTGCAATGTTTTGACAACGGTTGATACACGCCGAAAAATTTAAACAATCTTCTGTAAAATTTGAGCTGTTTGTCGGGTTTATAACATATGAAAGCCTGTTTATCACATAGTATATGGTTTTTTACTATAGATCTTTTAGATTAATATCAGGAATGTTAGACACATTTTGAGCAATTTCAAGCAAGCACTATGCTAAAACACAGCAAAACAAACTAAATGCCTGTTGTATACATTTAGATTGTGCAACACGAGAAAACCTGATTTTAATCATTTAAATAAACCGTAACAAAACCCTAGCGCGCATAGTGGATGAGTGGAGAACTAATCGAGGGCGAGCGAAAGTAAATTTAGAGGGAGGGAAAATCAGCTGATCGTTTTCCCATGCTCTAAATTAGAGCTTGGGAAACAACTATATAGCTTGGGAAACATACTGTATATTTTGATATCAGCTGTTATCGAAAATAGTTAATTTTGGTAAGGAGTAGTGAAAAAACTCTTACTTACAGTTGATAAACCACCAACAGTATTTGCAAAATAAAAGTTAACATATCAACAAAAAACCCCTATACTTATTTTATATCATTCACTTTTGAATACTGCCAATAGTCAATGCTACTGGATACTGATTAAGTCCGGGGGCATTTAATCTAAATGGATTTTACAAATGCAGTTTTGTTGCCTTGTGTACTAAAAAGGACATGAACCACCCTAGAGTGTGCTATTGCTTGAAATTGTTCTCTTTTCTCGTTATTTTTTTCTCTGTGATAGGTAGTAGAATCTATAGATGTTAGATAATATGCTGTTGTCTACGATAACTCTACTTATATTTTATTGTTTCTAGCGTTGGTATATTTGATAGTAACTATAGTAATTGAATTTGAAATCAGTGTATTCAATTGAACTGGTG